TTATGTACCATTTGCATGGGTACTCTCTGAGGTGCAGGACATATATCATGTGGGGAGAACTTAGTAAATTCCTGAATTGAATATGCAAAAAGCTTCGCATCATCACCAGCAGAAATAAGCATCGGAACACCGAAATGAGCCCATTTATGGTAAGTAAAGTCAACCGGCTTCCCCTTTTTGCGTTGTTTACGATTTGCTTTATCTGGCAGTATATCATCCGGAAAAGGATCTGCAAAAAAAAAAGGACATTTAATATAAGAACTAAAGACCAACCAGCTTTTAGATATATATGTGTGTTTGTGTCATGGCAAAAGTATGCATCTGAAAAGGAATCTGACTGAAGAGCATATTTAACAGGACATCCTCAGACATTGAATAACCATAAACTCAATAAGACTCTGACCTTCTCGGCTAATTGGTACAGCAACTGTAAGAGCTCTGATGTCATGTGTATGAGCCTTTACATACCCAATATAGTCCCATTTCTGAGAGGAAGAAGGCTTCAAATCTTGAGAACCGTTAGTACTACTGGAGAGCTTATAAAGAATAACCTACAGATAGGATGACCAGAGAATTAGAATGTTGAAATCCAATGCAATAAAACAAACACAACAAACCTTTCAGAAAAGCACTTTTCTGATACATATAATTAACTTCTACAATTGGTCAAAGTATTTGTTTCTAGTATAGTAGTATAATAATAGATCCCATTTATTGTCAAAAGGAAATATTTCAATCAGCAAAAAGAACTCACATTAGAAACAGGTTTTCACAATTACCTTGATAATCTGATACATCATCATCAACTATATTGTAAGAAATCATTGTATAACAGTTACTGCATTCTAGTAATTTCATTCACCTGTCCATCAGCACCAGCAGAAAAGACTCGATTATGGCTTGGGGATGCTGCAAGAGTATTGACATCACCTTTGTGATTAGAATGTGCTTCCAAAAGGGTTCCATGCTGACTATCCCAAAATTGGACAGTTCCTGTACTATCTCCACTCACAAGAACTGAACACCTAAAGTAAGCATGTAGATACTCAGCAAGAGCAAAAAAAAAAAAAACAGACATAATGTTAAAGCTGAACATTACAATCAGTACCTCAACGAAAGAAGTGACCAAACACAGATCTCAGAACTACTCCCCAGTCCACCAAGACCAACTGTAATTCGGTATACCTCCTGACATGAGTTAGCGTCCCAGCATCTTATCAGCCTACAAATGATCATTGCAACAAAAGAAACAGTTACTCCGAATAACTTAACACCTATCCAAGTAAACATGGATCTTTAATAAATTCTACAAAACTCACCGATCACTGCTACCCGAAAAGATCCTCTTTGCGTCCGGACTCCACGTTACACTTAAAGCACGTCCTGTGAAGATAATTTTCCAAGAAACTAAGTAAACGAAAAAATAATTGACAATTGACATTATTATAATAAGGGTGGTGAAGATGTCTCACCACTGACCCTAGGCAATGATCTATAGTAAGTTAACTTGTCTAAGTCAGAGATACGGTACAGTCTCACACAACCATCATCACAAGCAGCTGCAAGAAGCCTATCTGTATCAGAACCATCTGATTGCTCATGAAACTCATCCGAGTCAGAACCATCTTCTTCACTCCCACTCTCTTCCCCATTCTCACTCGAGTATCCATTCTTAATACCTTCTACATCAATGGAGGCTACACTAATCGGAGCCAATGCCATTTGCCATATCGAGAATCCAATAGACTCGAGCACAATCTACATATAAAGACACAAAACAAAAAAAATATAAATATAACTGAAAATGTGAATCACAAAAGACTGAAACAGAGAGATTAAGAACCTTCTGCTTCAAATCGAAAAGATCCCATTCAGAAATGGAGCCATCGATGCTAGAAGAAAACAACCGACCCGAAGGCAGCCCTTTAGAACCAGAACAGCACCACGCAAGAGACGAGATTCTCGAATTTGGATCGCCATGGATAGTCTAACCCCGGAAAATCCGAAAGAAGCAACGGTTAATAAAAGCCAATCAAAAAACACAAATCAACTCGAACATACTTCACGAAATCCGATTCGATTGAATCGGAAAGAGAAGAGCTAGGGTTTTTTTGGAAACCGTAGAGTACGTACGAGTTGACAGTGCCATCCGACGGCGCCGGGGGAGACGAGCCAGATTTCAAGAGAACCGTCCTCGCGAGCCGCCGCGACTTGTGAGTCGTCGGAGCTGTTAGCTAGGGCTACCACCGGTGATGGTTTCCAGTCAACGGAGCTGCAACGGTATTCGAGCATGACGGAGAAGAAGGAGAAGTGTACACTCTTTGAGACGGAGATGAGAGAAGAAGAAGAGGAGGCGATGAAGCATTAGGTTTTTGAGGGTTTTACCTAAGGACCTTATGGGGGCGGCAATTTAAAACGGGTCCTTACGGTTACGGGTACGGGTCTAGGTCGCTCGCATTTGATCCGACCCGACCGGAATCCTTCATTGGTTTGAATTTAATTAAGAAATATTTACTCAGATGTTAACCAAAAGTTCGAATATTACTAGAATATCATACATTTTCTAAAAATTACTCATATGTTTTGAGCATTTGTGTAATTATAATTAACACCTTTCATTAGGTTTTTTTTAATTAATAATTTTTAATTCGTTTTTAATTAAAAATAATAAATAAAAATTTGATTATTCATGTCATTAATCCACATCACCAATCTCACACTCTTCAAACTCACGTTATTTCTCCTCTTCTTTTTTTTTGTCTCCAAATCCAAGAAAAGCTTTTAGATCATTTCTCTTCTTCTCTTTTTTTTGTCTCCAAATCCAAGAAAAGCTTTTAGATCTAATAATCTGCAACTAACTTGGGTACAACATTGACAGAGATCTTCAAATTGCAGGATTGGGCTGAATCTTCCTAGACCTTACAGCCACAACGCTTGCCATAGGGTCCTAAATAAAAAGCTTCGTCAGATCTACTCGCAACCACGCTCACGAAAAAAGTCATCAAAAATCAAAACCCAAAACAAAGAGATCTATGGAATTCTACATGATTCGTTACAGGTTTGAGTTGAAATCAAGAATAGCTACTCTTTTACTTTGATTTTACATGTCTCTCGTTTAATCTTCCTCTCAATCGATCTATTTGGAGACATTTCTACTTCTATCTATGTTTTGATTCATACGGTTTAGTCTTCCTCCTATGTATCTCTCAAACATATTTTTACGAATCTTAATTTGATTGTTGTTATTTGACCAATAAATTTCATATTGTCTTCTCCAAAAAAATGTTGCTTTCCGATCTGTATTATAAATCAGCTGTAAAGTGATGTAACTCAGCCGTAACGTGATGTAACTCAGCCGTAACATATAATTTACACAACCTTTCGTCTTCCCTGAATGATAACTCAGCCGTAACATGTAATTTACCGAACCTTTCGTCTTCCCTGAAGCATATAACTCACCCGTAACATATAATTTACACCCATCTATCGTCTTCCCTAGAGAATATAACTCAGTCGTGACATGTAAATTTACCGAACCTTTCGTCTTCCCTTAAACATATAACTTAGCTGTAATGTAATTTTACCGAACCTTTCGTCTTCCCTGGAACATATAACTCAGCTGTGATATGTAAATTGACCGAACTTTTCGTCTTTCCTTAAGCATATAACTCAGCCGTAATGTAATTTTACCGAACCTTTCGTCTTCCCTGGAACATATAACTCAGCCGTGACATGTAAATTGATCGAACCTTTTGTCTTCCCTTAAGCATATAACTCAGCCGTGACATGTAAATTTGCAGCGAAACAATAAGAGACGCAACATTTCCTCTAACTTTATCATCGAGCACCAACTTCACAAGTTTTTCGTGCGTTGTTTTTGCATCTATCTGCATAACTCTACACCCTCTTTCATAGGTGTTAAATACGTATTTGTGTTTTTATACCCAATTACCGGAACTGGATCAACCATATCGGGAGAAAGATGAAAGAAATTGAAGAAGAATGAGGAAGACGATGAGGAATTGGAAGTTCCGGTGATGTGATAAACTCAGGTGAAGAAGACGAGTTGAAAAAATTTGGCCCTATTTTTTTGTCCTTTGATGATGATGACATGGAATGTTGCATCCACGTCATTTTTTAATTGATGAAGTGGCAAGTAAGCCACCAAACGAAAATGTAAATCAGCTTAATTAAACCAGCCATCAAACAAAACTTTAACTCAGCCGCAACATGAATACTATTACAGTAATTAAAAAACAAAAAACGGCAGCCAAATTCAGCCGTTTACTGTCGTAACTCAACCAAAAATATTTAACTCAGTCGTGTCGTTTAATAAGTCGGCCGTCATTGCATGCTATTCTAGTAATTAATCTTTCGCTACTAAGTCAGCCATAATAAGGCCGAGTTTTCCGTTAATCCAGCTCATTACGGCTGATTTATGATACTCGAACATAAATCAGCCGTAACGTCATCCCATAACTAAGCCGTCTTTGATAACTCAGCCAGCCGGAGAAAGTTAAGTCAGCCGTGTCGAAGCAATAACTCAGCCAAAAATTTGACAAATCAACCATCGGGTGAAAACTCAGCCGTAACTTAGGGTGGGTTATGCTCGAAAGTCAGCCATTTTATCATAACTCAGACAGATTTCAGTAAGTCAGCCGTAACTCCAGGCTGGGTTATACTCGTAAGTCAGCCGTTTGCTCATAACTCAGCTATTTTTCATAAATCAGCCGCAACATACCGTAACTCAGCCGTCACTGCCGCTATATCGCTCGACGGCTAAGTTCATTAATACACGTCAGCGATTTCTGACGTGGCGACGCGGCTTTGCTGACGTGGCAGTGGCATTCTTTGTAATTACGTTTTTTCCTGTAACGTTTAACAAGGGTACGCTGGGTATAAAAAATATACCCGAAATATGATAGTAATAAAAAAAAGATCTGTATGTTTCTGGTAATTTCATATAAAATGTATAACATCTGAGTAAATCTCCCAAATAATTAAAAAGAGATTTGTGACCAATATACCTCCACATATTCTTTCGATGTTTTCTGCTTCTTATTTGGGATTTTTTCATCTTCCTCTGCAATATGGACAGCCACTTTCATTTTGTTTTTCTGGCACTTGATACTACTCTCCACCTCAGCTTCAATGTTTAATTTTCTTTTCTTCTTTGCCACATTCTTGTTTGCCACAACAACAGAGCCCACACCATCCCAAGCATTCAAAGGTAACTGGTTATTGATGATATCTTTAATCAGGTTGTCTAGTAATTGATCCTTATTCGCATCAGCATCCGCATCTCCCCATTTAGGGTACATGTTATCCTCTGAAACAGGAATCATGTGCCTTACACGCATCTGCATTAAACAAGAAAAAAGGACAAACATGTTTAATCAATTTATTAGGTACTAATCCATTTATATAACTATGGTAACATGAAATAATAAAAGAAAAACTTGACACAATTGTGCCAATCTTGCAAAACAATTACAAACCAAAAATTGTTTTAACTAGTGATGTAAAAAAAAAGAAAAACTAACCTGACCATGCTTAGTCTTCTCCTTTATGAGGAATTCTTTTAACTTTATACCTTTCCGAGTTGACTGCCAATCGAGTAGTCGAACACCCGTCAATGTAGGTCTTCTCATCCCATAATCCTCTCCTATTCCTGGGACACTCTCATACAACCAAATCAGCAAAGCATGAACGCATCCGTGAATAACATAGGACTCTTGGTCATATTTAACAAGCTTCACTAAGGTTACTAGACTATCAAAAGCCACTCGACCCCAAGGATATTTCTCAAAACCCACAGGATCAAGAACTCTTCTAGCACTAGACAAAGGGATTCTTGATCCGTGATGTATGCCATGTACTGCCACAAATAATTGATAGTAAGATTTCTCTCTCTAACAGGTATCAATCCCTAATACACATGCCATTGTAGTATATTAGGTTATCAATCCAATCTCAGTGTGACTGCAAACATTCAAGATATGAAACAGAAAGCAGATAAGTCAAGCCAATTATGAAACAGTTTTGTGTGTTTTTATTGATCCTAAGCAACCAATTTATCATGCAAATACCGAATTTAAAAGCATAAAAAAAAGAACTAAACAGCAAGTAAACAAGAGCAAGAAGTAAACTAAAGACCAGAAACTATCATGCATAAGCTTTGGAAAAGAAACTAGCAACCTAACAATGCAGAGAAACGATCTAGGCCTAACAGGTCGAGCTAAGCAACAGAGACTAACAGAAACAAGATTTAAACAATCAATAGAGATAAAGGGTCCTGAGGAATGGGGTAATCGATTATGGCAGTCTCCTTAGTCTACCTAGGTGGTTAACAAACTCAATCAAGCTATCCCTAGACAGTAGATTCGAATTCAAATCAATCCACTCTCGTGACAGAGATTCTCAAGCTAAATCACTTTCATACTCAATTCTCATTGAAGAAATATAACCTAGCAGGCATTAAGATTCAATCTAATAGAGTCAATAAGCATTCTAAACATCCAATCTCTTGGGCTAGAGTATGCAAATCTCTGTAATAGTTGGGTCAGACATTTCATCAAACACCTTTTGGGTGTGGAAATGTCTGAGATCAACTTCCAATTGATCAGAGAGGAAATAGCATTAAGATCTACTAAACCAGAAGGGAAATCAAGCAATTCTACACTTAACCACCTAAATATACTAAGGATTCCACACCTAATCTATCCCATCCTCAAGAACCCTAATCCACTACTCAAGAACACTGAAGAACATCATGCATAAAAAAAACCCAGAAAACGTTTCAAACCCATAAATCATTAAAAAGCAAGTATGTTATAGATAAGAGGCAGATCTACAACTTTGATGAAGAAACGAAATCCAAAAACTCAAAGGATCAACAGGAAAAACGATTACAAAAACTAGGGTTTATGAGAGAAAAGAAGAATATCTGCTGGGTAAAAGGAATATCCGCTGGACAATAGCATGTACCCCTAGGTATAGGAAATACTAGGTTGCCTTAATTGGCTACAGGACAAAATAGAGAGTCGGTGGAGGCCAACTCGACGTGTCGTCGAGCCTACCACGTCGAGACCATGTGATTCTCAAAGGTGGCGCCTTGATGTCCATCTCGACGTGACGTCGAGCCTGTCTGGTCGAGTCTGCTCCCAGGCTGCTTCTTGGCGTCCATCTCGACGTGACGTCGAGCCTGTCTGGTCGAGACTGCTCCCAGGCTGCTTCTTGGCGTCCATCTCTACGTGACGTCGAGCCTGTCTGGTCGAGACTGCTCCCAGGTGATCTTGAACGACTTCATTCCTCTCCAATTCGATCCCAAGTCTAGCTCCAAGGTCGTGTTGGTTCCTCCTTGCTCCATTAAGTCCCAAATAAGCTCCAAAGTACCTAAAACTCATCCAATATGCAACATGCTATGCCATGCAATGCAAATCGTACTAAGTGATGAAAATCTTATGAAAAAGGACTATTAATGCAGTGAAACAGAGAGGAAACTAAGCTAAATGCATAAGAAATGTGTGCTAAAAAGAGGTAAAATACAGAGATATCAACTCCCCCAAACTTAGCTCTTGCTTGCCCTCAAGCAAACAAATAGAACCAAGCTGGAGAAGAGGTTTGAAAGTGGAGACTCAGAACCAAAACATGCATATAGAGTAAGTGAATTCAATGTCCAGGTTGCTTATTATAGAATGCAAGGTTGACTGATCCTTACTTAAAAACATTAGCCATCTCCTTCACATCTCAACCTAACCTCTGTCTTAATCTAATCAAGCATTCAAATCTGCACATTCCCTTTAACATTTATTAAGTGGGAACCGTGAATCATACTATGCAATGGATATGAACACATTTGGCTAAAGGGTAAAGGTTTTAGAGACAAAGATGGTCCCTTAAAGTTCTGGTTTAAATCGCAACAGGGGATCTCTCAAGAATGATTGAGCTTTAGTAGAATGCTAAAGGTGAGTATCAAGTTATGCATACAAGGATAAGACCCCATCTACCCAGAATATAATCAATATCAACCCAAATAGAGGTCCTATTTCTAATCCCAGAATCATGAACTTAACTCTACCCTTTTTGCATTCAAAGCATTTACAGACTTTACTCAAATCATCCCTTTTCTTTTCTTTGCTTTCTATCCTAGGAGAAGCTTTCTTACTACTCTGTCTAGCGGATCAGGTTTCTTTAACAACTAGGGTTCCCTTTTCTTTCTTCTTATAAACACAAGGCTTTTGCCCAAACTCTTTAAGCTATTTACAGAACCCTTTTTTCCTTTACTTTATAGCACACCCAAATCCTTTACTAGACTTCTCTTACTTTAGCTACTTCTCCTTAGGACTCTTTTCCCTTTTCTTTTCTTTCAATGATGAACACAACCTTTTCTTTCTTTTAAACACAACCCAAACCCAGAATTAAGCACCCACCTAGTCCTATCTGGTCCAGATAACGTGAACCAGAACTACATGAGATACTATCCTTGTCGTTATAGACCTAACACTTTCTACCAAGCTCAATCGGAATAAGGCCTCACATTCACACACAAATGATAAATGGCTTGAAAGAAGGTTAAGGCTAAGGGTGGGGAATAACTGCTCCAAAGATGGGAGTCAGCTACTTGGACTAGCAAGAGTGATCAAAAGGTAAAAGAAAGTCCAAGTATTTTAAGGTATCCATGAGTTCATAGCACAATGCACAGCATGATAATTATAAGTCAAAATTCAAGTTCAAATAGATAGGGAATGGCATCAGATCAAAGCGAGATTCGACTAAAAACAAGAAAGTTAAGCGTTGAATTCAAAAGATGGTGCGGTCTTACTTCAAGTTCAGTCGATTATGCATTAGAGAACTAACAACCAGGGCACTGAGTTCTACTTAGTGACTAGGCATATTTACAAGGTTATAATCATCATAATCTCCGATGCAAATGCATGATGCAACAGTCCTAAATGAAAACATACTAAAACAGTATTAAAATGGCAATGTGAACTACATGAACACTCTTCTTTTGTATTACATTTTTCGAAATTTTTCAAATTTTTTTGGTTTTTCTATGCCTTAGATGATTATGCAATAAGAAAACAGAACACAACATCAAATACTTCTTGGACTCTCCCCCAAACTTAAATTACACAGTCCCTTGTGTAATAAAAATTCAGAAGAGAGCTCAAGAGAAACAAACAGCTAAACGGAAAAACACACTAATGCAATGAAATAATACAATGGTTTAGGGATGAGTGATACTTTGGGTTTAGGCGAAGTAGTGGTCGAGGAACTCATCCATGCTCTCCTGCGTGTAAGAAGGAGCTGTGCTTGACTCTGGAGGTTCCTGCTCGTTGTCAAAGCCCGTCTGCGTCTGAGAAGGATTTGTTGGCTCTGGAGCAGGCTCGACGTGCAGACTCGACGTGTCGTCGAGCTCCATGGTCGAGTCTGCCTCTAGGCTTGGCCGCCGAACCTTCCGCTTATTGCGATGCCTTTGCGAATGTCTAGGGAGTTGTGCAGACTCCTCTTGGCTTTCCCTCTGGCGTTGTTCAAAGGATGAATATCTGGGAGGATCAGCCTTGACCGGGTGTCTTGGAGCCATGCTTGTGGAACCGCTTCTTCTCAAAGTACCTCTCTCTTCTGATAACGGTGGCGAATGCTTGGACTTCTTTTGCAGCTCCGTGATCTGAATCGCCATCTTCTTCACCATTGTGGTTAAGGAATCTACCTTTTTTGACAATCCACGCATTGCCTTCCCTTGAAACTTTCCCAACCCTTGCAGGAGTCCTATGCGCTTGTGAGCTTCTCTCTCGCTCTTGGTCTGCCTAGGGGCTTTGTATTCTTCGAAAAAGAACCGCTCTGGTGCATAATCATCAGGAGCGTCTTGGGTGTGTTCCTGGTCGTCCTCATGCATTGCTTGAGGCGGTGGGGAGGCAGGGGCGACTTGTGAATCGTAAAGAATGAAGGATGGTGGCCCGAAGTCGATGTTCTCACCAGCCCTAATCGTGGTGTGATTCGTGCATGGTAGAAGCAGCCTAGAATCCCCTTCTTCAGGGTGGTTGAACACATAGAGCAACACGCCTTCAGGAGCTGTTTTATCAAGGTAGCCCTTCTTCCTTAAGTATGCCATATCGATCCAATTTGGGGAAGCATCGCCTGTTCCCACGTCTATACCCGCAGCTACCAGAATCGGTGTCAGAATTCCGCCAATAGTCAAGCTTCCCTTGCGCCCTGTCCTATGCATTGTTGCAGCATAATCCTTGTATCCCAATAAATGATCCAAGAACACAGCGATTAGAGGAGCGTTTCCTCTATCTCCCACCATTTCTGCTCCATCTCTAGTGTTTCTTAAGGTGAATAGGAGAGCTAAGTCCAGAAGCTGCAGCTCACCTTCGCTTACGGTACCGGTGATCTTCTTTGCAAAGAACATGCTAGCAATGGATTGATGTAGATACCTCACCACTGGGCTTCTAATAGAGGAACTCTTTCTTTTCGAAGGTTTGTAATCTCCAGGTCCAGCTATCGTCTTCCACAAGGCTTGAAGTTTGCGTTTATCGAAATCTTGCACCAATCCCTCTTTGCTCGGGAATCCATACAGGAGATTAAGCTCCCTAATCGTTAGCGAGTAGTCTCTTCCCTTGACAGAGAATGTGATGTACCCAAAACCTCTCCCATTCTCTTCTTCTTGATCATCCGCGTAGAAGTGTACGTTGAGAGTAGCTAGGAGCTGGCAGGTCTCCACTTGATAACCCTCAAAACTATACCCCAGGAAGGTTTTTAAACCGCACATCTCAGCAAGGTAGTCCACATCTTCAGCAATTCCCAAAGCAGCCATCGTTTCTCGGTGAGGATGTCTTGTGCCTTCGAAATCCAGTGACTTTAGGTAGGCATAGTACTCCTCAGGAGTAGGAGGCTTCTTCTTCGTTCTATCCCTTTTGGCGGGCTTTGCAGGTGTGATCTCTTCTTCAGTTTCAACAGCCTCTTCTTCCTCCATTTCAACAGCCTCTTCTTCAGGTGTGGCTTCGAAATCTGCTTCCTTAATCCTCTTACCACGGCTTATCTCTCTTCTCCTTCTAGCAAGACGTTCAGCATCGTCAGTTCTTGAGCTCGAGGAGCCTCCTCCTTCATGTTCTGGCCTATCTTCTCTCACGAAATTGGCATGACCGGTCCAAGCAGAGGCTGGAATCCTCTTGTTGATAATAGCAAAACCACGTGCAGCGTTTCTTGCAGCAATTTTCTTTCTTTCTTGGTCACTATCCATGGTGTTTCCTTCAAAAGAAGAACACAACGAGCAGAGTAGATCAAATGAGCAGAGAATAGAGTTTTTAAAAGAAGAGAAGTGAGTTTTAAACTTTGAAATCGAGTTTTAAAACCAAAGTTTGAGAACTTTAAAAGCTCTAAAACGCAAATGCAAGGGAGAAATGAGAGAACTAGAGTTTTAGGTGAAAAAAATGAGAGAATTTGAAGAAATGAGAGAGTGAGAGAGATGAGGAGTGCTTCTTCCCTTTTAAAGACGCCCAAGGAGACCAAAAGCAAGGGTGGAGCGTGTGGGAGCAGGGATTGTCGGATCTGGGATTCAAATTTGAATTTTGAACGGTTTTGGCGTTGTCTCGACGTGTGGGCTCGACGTGTGGGGTCGAGTAGGACGCGGCGAGTTTGAATTTGAATTCTGGAAGATTCCTTGCGCGATCTTGAGGTGGTGGGCTCGACGTGGGGTCGAGTTGACTCATTGACCGGATTTGAATTTGAATTTTGGCTCCAAGGTTGACTTGTTGGAAGTTTGACTCGATTTAAAAGGCTTGGTGGTCTTGGGCTTCGCTTAGCATCGAGTTGGGCTTCGTTTAAGGCTTGGAGTTGGTCCATTGGGCTAGCTCGACGTGACGTCGAGTAGGGCAGGTCGAGACAAGGCCACCCATTCTGTTTTGCGCCTTGGCTTCCTTAAAACGCTTTATCCTGAGACACTTAAGCAAAAACATCAAAAATAACAAGGAAATAACTAATATTTACAAGGATAGACATGGGACTTCCTCCCAAGTGAGCTTGTTTAAAGTCTTTAGCTTGACTTTACTACTCTTTTAGGCGAGTTGAGGTTCCTGAAGATGAACCGTAGATCCTTCAGGAATGACGCTATCTGCGAGATACTTCTTAAGCCGCTGACCATTCACCTTAAACTCTGACCCGTCCTTAGTAAATAGCGATACCGCACCAAATGGTAGAACCTCTTTGATAGTGAAAGGACCTGACCACCTAGACTTGAGCTTTCCGGGAAATAGCTTGAGTCTAGAGTTGAATAGTAACACGTGGTCTCCCGCCTTGAAGTCCTTTGGTGAAATCTTCTTGTCATGGAAAGCTTTTGTTCTTTCCTTGTACACCTTTGAACTCTCATAAGCTTCAAGCCTTATTTCCTCAAGTTCGTGCAAGTCAACAGATCTCTTCTCTTGAGCTTCTTTGATATCCAAGTTCAGCAACTTAGTAGCCCAGATTGCTTTGTACTCTACCTCAACTGGAAGATGACATGACTTCCCATACAGCATCTGAAATGGCGTCCTTCCTATCGGCGCCTTGTATGCAGTCCGGTAAGCCCAAAGTGTATCATCTAACTTGGTAGACCAGTCTCTCTTTGAAACACCAACAACTCTAGCAAGTATGGCTTTGATCTGTCGGTTGGATACTTCTACTTGCCCGCTAGTCTGAGGGTGATAAGGAGTAGCTACCTTGTGCTTCACACCGTGCTTCTTTAACAGACTCTCAAAGACCTTGTTGATGAAATGAGAACCTCCATCACTGATCACAGCCTTAGGGATACCAAATCTGGGGAATATGATGCTCTTGAACAGCTTTAAGACCACTTTATGATCATTGGTTGGAGATGCAATGGCCTCAACCCATTTGGAGACGTAGTCCACAGCAACTAGGATGTACTTATTACCATAGGAAGCAGGATTAAATGGTCCCATGAAATCAATTCCCCAAACGTCGAAGACTTCAACTTCCAGGATCGGGGTCTGTGGCATTTCGTTCCTCCTAGTTATGTTCCCCATTCTCTGGCAGGGATCACATTTAGCAATGAATCCATGTGCATCTTTAAACATGGAAGGCCACCAAAGGCCGACTTGGAGAACCTTCTGTACTGTCTTGAAGGTAGCAAAGTGACCGCCATAAGCTGAACCATGACAGTGTTCCAGCACTCCTTGAACTTCCTCTTCAGCAATACACCTTCTAAATAGGCCATCAGTACCCTTCTTATACAAATAAGGTTCATCCCAGTAGTAGTGGTTGATGTCTCTAAAGATTTTCTTCTTCTGGTAAGCATCAAGGTATTTGGGGATTTCTCCGCAGATCAAGTAGTTTACAAAGTCAGCATACCATGGAAATTTCTCTTCTTCTACAGCCAATGCTTCATCGAATTCCTTCTTGTTGTACACCATTTTATAGCATTTGACGGCTAACAGCTGCTCTTCAGGCATTGAATCGTTTATAGGGATTTCATCTTCAATCCGCATTCTGGACAAGTGATCAGCTACTCCGTTCTCTATACCCTTCTTATCAACAATCTCCATATCAAACTCTTGAAGTAACAAAATCCATCTCAGCAGTCTAGGTTTGGTGTCCTTCTTAGCATAGATGTGCCTCAAAGCTGCATGATCTGTATAGACAGTAACCTTAGATCCAACCAAATAGCTTCTAAACTTCTCAAATGCAAAGACTACAGCCAGCAACTCTTTCTCTGTTGTAGCATATCTCACTTGAGCATCATCCAAGGTTCTGCTTGCATAATAGATAACGTGGAGCTTCTTATCTATCTTCTGACCCAGCACAGCCCCAACCGCGTAGTCTGAAGCATCACACATGATTTCAAAAGGATGATCCCAGTTTGGTGCTTGGACGATTGGAGCAGACACTAGAGCTTCTTTAATCAAGTTGAAAGCTCTCATACACTCTTCATCAAAGATGAATTCGGTCTCCTTACAGAGAAGTCGAGTAAGTGGTCTAGCAAACTTTGAGAAATCCTTGATGAATCTCCTGTAAAAGCCGGCATGACCTAGAAAACTTCTGATATCCTTCACGCTTTTTGGAGGCTGCAACTGCACCATGACGTCTATCTTGGCCTTATCAACCTCAATCCCTTTCTCTGATATCTTGTGTCCCAATACTATACCCTCTCTGACCATGAAGTGACACTTTTCCCAGTTCAGCACTAGATTGGTCTCCTCACACCTTGGTAGAACCCTGCATAGATTTAACAAACAAGAGGAGAAAGAGGAGCCATAGACAGAGAAATCGTCCATAAAGACTTCCACTGTCTCCTCAATTAAATCCGAGAATATTGAAGTCATACACCTCTGAAAAGTAGCAGGTGCATTACACAATCCGAAAGGCATTCTTCTATAAGCAAAGGTTCCATAAGGGCAAGTAAAAGTGGTTTTCTCTTGATCATTAGGGTGAATTGGTATTTGAAAGAAACCACTATATCCATCAAGAAAGCAGTAGTATTGGTGATTAGCTAACCTTTCAAGCATTTGATCAATGAATGGTAAAGGAAAATGATCTTTTCTAGATGCAGCATTCAGCTTTCGATAATCAATGCACATTCTATGTCCTGTTATAGTTCTTGTAGGGATTAATTCATCTTTATCATTCTTTATAACAGTCATACCTCCTTTCTTAGGCACACAATGAACCGGAGATACCCAAGTGCTATCTGAAATAGGGTAGATTACACCCGCTTCCAATAGTTTAAGTATCTCCTTTTTAACTACTTCTTTCAGATTAGGATTCAATCTCCTTTGAGGTTCAATGCTAGAATGAGATTCGTTTTCGAGATGGATCCTATGCATGCACAAACTAGGTGAGATTCCCTTTATATCAGACAATGAATAACCAATTGCTCTTCTATACTTTTTAAGTTCAGACAACAGCAAATCCACTTCATCATCATTCAATGCAGCATTAATGATCACAGGGTAAGTAGAGTTTGTTCCAAGAAATGCGTACCTTAGCCCTTGCGGAAGTGGTTTGAGGTCTACTTTAGGTGCGTTGAGCTCAGACCAGTCATCTGAGGTAGGAGAAGGCCATCTCGACGTGTCGTCGAGCTTGCAGGTCGAGTCTGCTTCCTTGACTTCTTCAGGAATTGGGCTGGGAAGGCCTACTCGACGTGTGGTCGAGCAGGTAGGTCGAGACTGTTCTGAAATGTCTTCTTCCACTGTACTGACTTCTGCTACTGGCACCTCTAACTGCTCAAAGTATTCTGATGATTCTTCTTCCTTATGGGAGTCTAGCAGCTTCTTGTACCCCAATGTCTCTAAGTGTAAGAACCCCTCTTTCCCGTCTTTGGTAAGAGCACTCTGTAGGTAGTCTTCTTCAGTAAGCTCTTCAAGTAGTTCGTCAGCTAAACGATCCATTTCTTCTATGTAGAACACTTGTCCGTCAATAGTAGGTTTCTTCATCGTCTTAGTGATGTCGAATGTCATCTTGAAATCTTCACCGAGGTTCAAGTCGATCTTACCTCTTCTGACATCAATGAGAGCTCCAGCAGTAGCTAAGAAAGGTCTCCCTAGTATGAGAGGGTCCTTTGGCTCTTCATCCATTTCTAAAACAACGAAGTCTGTAGGAATCTCTACCTTTCCTATTCTGACTGGTAGATCCTCTAACATACCATGAGGGACTCGTACGGATCTGTCGGCTAAGATTAGTTGGATTTGGCAAGACTTGTACTTGATGAACCCGAGTCTTCTTGCTACTGAGAGTGGCATCAAACTGACTGATGCACCTAGATCACATAGGCATTTGTTGAAGAACAAAGGGCCTAGTGAACAAGGTAGAGTAAATGAGCCGGGATCCCCAAGATTCTTCAGTATAATCTTCTTCTGTATGATAGCACTGCATTCATGGCTCAACACTACCATTCCTTGTACTTCCTGAATTCTCTCCATTATCATGTCCTTCAAGTATTTGTGAGAATCCGGAATCAGCATGAAAGCATCAATGAGAGGCATCCTTAATTCAATCTCCTTGATGTGTTTAGCAAACATGGCTCTGTACTTCTCAATGATATCCCTCTTGAATCTTCCTGGGAATGGTATTTTGGGCTTGTAGGGTGGTGGAACGAAAACTTTCTTCTTACTCTTATCAACAACAGTTTCTTTGATCTGGGGGCTCTTAGCTTGATCCCTAGGTACAGCATCTTGGTCAAGCTTAGTGGTGTCTTCTACTTGAGTCTCATTCTGAAGAGAATCCTCCCCATCTTGAATCTCACTGTCCTCAGTGACAGGAGTTTGGTTAGGTCGAGTACGCAGCTCTCGACCACTGCGGAGTTGAATAGCATGAGCATACTCTTTCGGATTCTGAATAGCTTTCTCTGGTAGTTGTCCGGGGTGTGTAGGTGCAGAAGTAGAAGCAGCTTGGCTTTCCATGTACTTCACCTTGGAGTTTAGAGCCTCAATCTTGATTTGAAGCTCAGCCAGCTTCTTATCACCAGCTACTTGGCCGTGTAGAAGCTGGTGAAGCATTTGCTTCATGTCTTGATCTTGGGCAGGTGGAGCTAGCTGGGGTTACGGTGCAAAACCGGGTGGTGGATTATATTGTTGATAACCGCCACTAAACTGCTGCTTTGGGACAAAGCCTTGATTGTACGGTATGAATGGCTTGGACTGGTTCTGTTGTGGCTGAGGGTAAACCTGATCTTGAGGGTTTGCAACATTCGTGCTCCGGTAAGAGAGATTAGGATGAGCAGGCTTATAGGGGTTGTAGCCCTTGTTGTAGCCACCTTGGTTCTGAACGTAGCTGACTTCTGCAGCCTGAGTGTTCTCCCCCTCTTGGATTTGATAGTACTCTTCTTCAGTGATATAGTGGACTGGTTTCTGGTTAGTAAGCAGAAATTGATCCAGCTTGTCATTGAGAGCCTTTACCATCTCTTTAGTATGCTTTGCATCCGGATCTCCAATGCTTCTGTTGGAGCGATCAAAATCCTCGTTATAGTTACCATCAGATAGAGCTAAGTTCTCTATCAACTCCCAGCCTTCCTCAACATCCTTATTCAAGAAATTCCCATTAGAGGCAGTGTCTAGCAACATTCTGATCTTGGGCAAAACTCCCCTGTAGAGTGTGCTGAGTAGTGAAGCCTTCTTGAAACCATGGTGTGGACACTGTATAGTGTAGCCTTTGAATCTCTCCCAGGCTTCACAAATGGATTCAGACTGCTTCTGTGTAAAACTGGAGATTTCATTTCGTAGACGTGCAGTCCGGGAATTGGAGAAGAACTTTGTTAAGAATGCCTTCTTGCAATCGTCCCAAGATGTGATGGAGCCAGCAGGTAGTGTCTTCTCCCAGTGGTGTGCTTTGTCGCCCAGCGAGAAGGGAAACAAACGTAGCTTGAAGCTGTCTTCACTAACACCATTGATCTTGGTGAGGCTGTAGAGCCTATCAAAGTTATCCAAGTGATCCAAGGGGTCTTCCAGAGGCAACCCATGAAACTTGTTACCTTGAATCATTGAGATCAATCCACTCTTGATCTCGAAATTGTTGTTCTGGACAGGAGGTGGAACGATGCCCTGTCTCTGTTGATGGTTGCGTGGTGCATCACCATCACCAATGTTCCGTGGTATACCAACTCCTTGATTATCGTGATCTTGTGGTTCCATGGCGACTGGATTGTGCGGTTCACAGTAGTCTCGGGCTCTACCTTCTCTTAACTCACGAGCTAACTGGTTGATGTTGTCTTTGTAGCTGATGAGGTTGTTGGAGCCTTTAGATCGAGTTTGCATGCAGAGTGATCAGACTCGATGTGGCAGTCTCGACGTGAGGTCGAGATGGTCCCTAACAATGCAGAGTGGCAGTCTCGATGTGGCAGTCTCGACGTGGCAGTCTCGACGTGTCGTCGAGATGGTACCTGGAGCACAAAAACAAGTAGATGAAATGAAGAGTTAGTAACCAAGGTATAGAAAGAACTTGATCTTAAACGTTTCTGAAATCTTAAATGGAACAATGCAACACAAGACTGGCAACGGCGCCAAATTGATACTAAGATTTCTCTCTCTAACAGGTATCAATCCCTAATACACATGCCATTGTAGTATATTAGGTTATCAATCCAATCTCAGTGTGACTGCAAACATTCAAGATATGAAACAGAAAGCAGATAAGTCAAGCCAATTATGAAACAGTTTTGTGTGTTTCTATTGATCCTAAGCAACCAATTTATCATGCAAATACCGAATTTAAAAGCATAAAAAAAGAACTAAACAGCAAGTAAACAAGAGCAAGAAGTAAACTAAAGACCAGAAACTATCATGCATAAGCTTTGGAAAAGAAACTAGCAACCTAACAATGCAGAGAAACGATCTAGGCCTAACAGGTCGAGCTAAGCAACAGAGACTAACAGAAACAAGATTTAAACAATCAATAGAGATAAAGGGTCCTGAGGAATGGGGTAATCGATTATGGCAGTCTCTTTAGTCTACCTAGGTGGTTAACAAACTCAATCAAGCTATCCCTAGACAATAGATTCGAATTCAAATCAATCCACTCTCGTGACAGAGATTCTCAAGCTAAATCACTTTCATACTCAATTCTCATTGAAGAAATATAACCTAGCAGGCATTAAGATTCAATCTAATAGAGTCAATAAGCATTCTAAACATCCAATCTCTTGGGCTAGAGTATGCAAATCTCTGGAATAGTTGGTTCAGACATTTCATCAAACACCTTTTGGGTGTGGAAATGTCTGAGATCAGCTTCCAATTGATCAGAGAGGAAATAGCATTAAGATCTACTAAACCAGAAGGGAAATCAAGCAATTCTACACTTAACCACCTAAATATACTAAGGATTCCACACCTAATCTATCCCATCCTCAAGAACCCTAATCCACTACTCAAGAACACTGAAGAACATCATGCATAAAAACCCAGAAAACGTTTCAAACCCAGAAATCATTAAAAAGCAAGTATGTTATAGATAAGAGGCAGATCTACAACTTTGATGAAGAAACGAAATCCAAAAACTCAAAGGATCAACAGGAAAAACGATTACAAAAACTAGGGTTTATGAGAGAAAAGAAGAATATCTGCTGGGTAAAAGGAATATCCGCTGGACAATAGCATGTACCCCTATTTATAGGAAATACTAGGTTGCCCTAATTGGCTACAGGACAAAATAGAGAGTCGGTGGAGGCCAACTCGACGTGTCGTCGAGCCTACCACGTCGAGACCATGTGATTCTCAAAGGTGGCGCCTTGATGTCCATCTCGATGTGACGTCGAGCCTGTCTGGTCGAGTCTGCTCCCAGGCTGCTTCTTGGCGTCCATCTCGACGTGACGTCGAGCCTGTCTGGTCGAGACTGCTCCCAGGCTGCTTCTTGGCGTCCATCTCTACGTGACGTCGAGCCTGTCTGGTCGAGACTGCTCCCAGGTGATCTTGAACGACTTCATTCCTCTCCAATTCGATCCCAAGTCTAGCTCCAAGGTCGTGTTGGTTCCTCCTTGCTCCATTAAGTCCCAAATAAGCTCCAAAGTACCTAAAACTCATCCAATATGCAACATGCTATGCCATGCAATGCAAATCGTACTAAGTGATGAAAATCTTATGAAAAAGGACTATTAATGCAGTGAAACAGAGAGGAAACTAAGCTAAATGCATAAGAAATGTGTGCTAAAAAGAGGTAAAATACAGAGATATCAATAATAAGCACAACCTAGCAACCATCATTCTCTTTTCAAACACCCACGCCTTGCTAAAATCCATCACCTTTTGCAGCTCTGTAAACATAGGACCGTCAGAGGTTCCCACTTTCATTGCTTCCCAAAGCTCACTGTGATCAGCTTGGCAAATGTCTGACGGCTCAATAACACCACAGTTTAGGCTTGTTATATCCGCAAACTCATTTAAAGAGAATCGGATTGGTCTACCATCAATCAAAGACCAAATCTCATGCAAGTTGTTTACTCGCAGCTGATTTGTGAGGATAAAGTGAACCTTCTTTGCAGCCCATGTGTATTCCGCATCAGCAAGCTTTATAAATACACCAAGAGATGATTCCTTCAATTTGTCCCAGACGTCCTGACCTAATCCTTCTCGAATGAGCCCAATTTTCGACAAATAACAGTTGTGGTTCATGCTATGATGTTGCAAAATAGATTTTCCTTCGTCATAGAGGCGAGGAGGATATTTGAAGATGGTACTGGAGGATGCCATCCCTAAACATAGATAAATAAAATTAAGAGCTTTAGCAAAATAGAGGATCTAAGTAAATAGCAATTTGCATAAAGACAAAAACATGAAAAAAAAATCTGCAGCTACTTCAACAAAATATGTGGTCATGTAATTGGAAAAGGCGCGAAATAATTTTACAAAAAAAGAATCCGACGAAAATAGGTATACTCTTACCGGAAACTGGAAGAACACTATAGGTACTCAGATGACGGTGGTCGATCTGCAAAAAAAAAAAAAAAGGGTTAATCAAAATTGAAATCAAAATTGAAATCTAAATTGAAATCTACATTGAAATTTGAATGGGAAAAGTTCTCACCGATATGGGTAATAAGACACTGTTGAATGAAGAAATCGAATTTGAAAGTCTAAAAATCCTCCAGTGAATTGAAGAGAAAACGATGACACCGAAGCCGAGTTTCTGTCACCGCGAGATAAGAAAAACCGTGATGAAGTAAGAAAGGCCTGCAGCCTGCAGCCTCGCCGCCGTTTATGTGGCCGGAGACGCAGAACTGTCACCACCGGAGAAGAGAGAAAAGGGAGAAAAAGTCAGAAACGATTACCCACGGAGGCTAGCATATCGACACGAAATCAACACAGACGGAATACTCACCGTAGTTTGCAGGAGCGGCGGATTGAAGGAGAGATTGCTAGGGTTTCCACTCAAAATCGACGAAGGAGAAGAGAAACAGACTCAAGTCTGTGAAAAGGGGAAAAACAATTAAACCCTAAATTGAGTTAATGTTTGGTTTGGTTTTATGATTTTTTTTAATTATTCTGTTTTTTTTCCTAATTCGTAAAAAGCTTTTTTGGTAAAAGAAATTGTTGGAGAAATCTAGATTGAGGTTAAATAGTCTTTTTACACAAAATTTGAGTTATTCTAGTTCTTCATTGCCATTGAGAGTCAATCTAGTTATTTTTGCAAAGTTTTGAGTCAATCTTGGTAAATTTTAGTAAAAAAATATAGAAATATTTACTCAGATGTTAACCAAAAGTTCGAATATTACTATAATATCATACATTTTCTAAAAATTACTCATATGTTTTGAGCATTTGTGTAATTACAATTAACACCCTTCATTAGTTTTTTTAATTAATAATTTTTAATTCGTTTTTAATTAAAAATAATAAATAAAAATTTGATTATCCATGTCATTAATCCACATCACCAATCTCACACTCCTCGAACTCACGTTATTTCTCCTCTTCTCTTTTTTTGTCTCCAAATCCAAGAAAAACTTTTAGATCATTTCTCCTCTTCTCTTTTTTTTTGTCTCCAAATCCAAGAAAAGCTTTTAGATCTAATAATCTGCAACTAACTTGGGTACAACATTGACAGAGATCTTCAAATTGCAGGATTGGGCTGGATCTTCCTAGACCTCACAGCCACAACGCTTGCCATAGGGTCCCAAATCAAAAGCTTCGTCAGATCTACTCGCAACCACGCTCACGAAAAAAGTCATCAAAAATCAAAACCCAAAACAAAGAGATCTATGAAATTCTACATGATTCGTTACAGGTTTGAGTTGAAATCAAGAATAGCTACTCTTTTACTTTGATTTTACATGTCTCTCGTTTAATCTTCCTCTCAATCGATCTATTTGGAGACTTTTCTATTTCTATCTATGTTTTGATTCATACGGTTTAGTCTTCCTCCTATGTATCCCTCAAACATATTTTTACGAATCTTAATTTGATTGTTGTTATTTGACCAATAAATTTCATATTGTCTTCTCCAAAAAAATATTGCTTTCCGATCTGTATTATAAATCAGCCGTAAAGTGATGTAACTCAGCCGTAACGTGATGTAACTCAGCCGTAACATATAATTTACACAACCTTTCGTCTTCCGTGAATGATAACTCAGCCGTGACATGTAATTTACCGAACCTTTCGTCTTCCCTGAAGCATATAACTCACCCGTAACATATAATTTACACCCATCTATCGTCTTCCCTGGAGAATATAACTCAGCCGTGACATGTAAATTTACCAAACCTTTCGTCTTCCCTTAAACATATAACTCAGCCGTAATGTAATTTTACCGAACCTTTCGTCTTCCCTGGAACATATAACTCAGCTGTGACATGTAAATTGACCGAACTTTTCGTCTTTCCTTAAGCATATAACTCAGCCGTAATGTAATTTTACCGAACCTTTCGTCCTCCCTGGAACATATAACTCAGCCGTGACATGTAAATTGACCAAACCTTTCGTCTTCCCTTAAGCATATAACTCAGCCGTGACATGTAAATTTGCAGCGAAACAATAAGAGACGCAACATTTCCTCTAACTTTATCATCGAGCACCAACTTCACAAGTTTTTCGTGCGTTGTTTTCGCATCTATCTGCACAACTCTACACCCTCTTTCATCGGTGTTAAATACGTATTTGTGTTTTTATACCCAATTACTGGAACCGGATCAACCATATCGGGAGAAGGATGAAAGAAATTGAAGAAGAATGAGGAAGACGATGAGGAATTGGAAGTTATGGTTGTTAATCAAGAAGGTGTTTAATACTAACTAAATCAATAGTTAGATATTTAACACAAGTTACTTATATTGAGAAACCGCCGGGCTGAGACACCCGCCTGGCTAGGCAAAGATATCCAAACTGGCAGGGACAAGTATAAACCCGCCTGTCTGAGACACCCGCCTGGCTGAGACCCGGTGGTTTCCTCTAGGTCATTTTAACCTAATCTCCTTTATATATAAAGGTTGTAGCCACCATTGTAATGTTTTTAAAGTAACAAAACTTTTCTCATCAATACATTATCTCTTTCTCTCAATCTTCAATCATGGTTTTCTCAACATTTCCAACTTAAATCTTTACATGGTATCAGAGCGTGATCTTGATTCTTAAATATATCTTCTCTAAATCTTTCTGTTTCGATTTCTCTTTCTTTCTGGTTCGTTTTCTCTCAAAAGACATTCAGTCTCATTTAAAAGTCTAAAGCTTGAAGCTTTACTACTCTTGTGTGGTTATCTCTCGGATTATGCTTCAACGAGGTTAAGTTCTTCGAGAATCTTGGGTGTGTACTTCCGGTGAAGAGATTTGGGTCGTCTTTGAAGCTTCTCGAAGGTGGTTCAGTCTATCTAGGTTGGTTTCTCATCTAAAGGTCAGAACTTTATCCTGATACTTGAAGATCCGGAGAGTTAAGGGAGTTAGTATAAGATTCGAGTAGTGTGTGGGTTGTAAACGGTTCAAAATCAGTCTTTTACTCTTGTGGGGTGTTACGATTAGTCATAGAAAGCTAAAGGTTGGATATTTCTTAAGAAATCTTTGGGTTAGAAGAGTAGAATGGCTCTCACAGTTCCAAAGACAAAAGATGTATTCAAGGATTTGAAGTTTGCAGTTGTTTTGAATGGAAACAACTATCTCTTGTGGAAGAGAACAACTACGAATGTTCTCGGTGGAAGGAAGCTCACGAAACACATAGAGTTTACTTATGAGGAGGTGAAAGCGTTGGATGAGACTCTAGACAAGGATGATTGGACACAAGAAGACTTGAATGTGCTTAGCACCTTGCATTGCTCTCTCGAGACCTCACTCTTGGAAGGATACTCTTATTGTGAAACGGCAAAAGAGCTTTGGGACACTCTTGCGAGTGTGTTTGGTAATGAGTCTAACTTGACTCGAGTGTATGAACTCAAGAAGGCTCTTGGAAGTTTAAGCCAAGATGAAAACGACTTTAACACTCATTTTGGGAAGTATCGGTCTCTAGTGGCGGAGCTAGAGATGCTAAGGCCATTCACTACCGAAGCAAAGGTTCTTAAGGATCGTAGGGAGCAAGACCTTGTGTTTGGGCTAATGATGACACTTAACTCGAGCTACAAAGATGTGATACAACACATCTTGAGAGACGACAAGGTGCCTACTTTGGAACAAGTGTGTGCGAAGATACAAAAAGAGTTTGGCTCGCAAGGCCTATTCGGTACTAAGGGGGAGAATCGTCCAACGGCTAATAAGGTTGGGGTGGTGAAACAAGATGACAGGACGACTTGGATCTGTGACCATTGTAAGAAGAAAGGTCATCTTAAAGACAAATGTTGGATCTTACACCCTCACTTGAAGCCAGATAAGTTCAAAAAGACTAAAGCCAACATTGCGAACACAAGTGATGGAGGATTAGAGAATGAAGAGAGGGCCATTGTGCAATATGGTCATCAAGAGAAGGCGATGCAAGCCTCAGATCAAAACAAAGGAGGTGTCGGCTCTACTTCTCAAGAAACCATTGTGATGAACAAGGCGGATCTCGAAGCTCTTCTTCAATCCATTGCATCTAAGATACACCCCGGCGGTATCTCTCTCTTTACCTCTAACTCTCGTGATTTAAATTCATTAGTGTTAGATTCGGGAGCTTCTCATCATATGATAAGTAATCCTAGGTTGCTAGAGAACATCAAACCGGCCTTAGGGAGAGTTAAAGTTGCAAATGGTCACAATGTTCCAATAGAAGGAGTAGGGTGCATAAACTTGTTCAATAAGAAGTCTAGTGCGTTTTATATGCCCAAATTTACTTCAAATTTGCTCTCGGTTAAGAAGACTACTAGAGATTTGAATTGCCTTGCCATCTTTAGTCCTAACGATGTAAAATTGCAGGATATTAAGAGTGGTAATGTGTTTGGACAAGGAGGTACTAAAGATGATCTCTACATGCTTGAAGACACCTCTCTTAACTCTATCTCTAATAATGTTGCTTCTTCAATTTTTGCAAACAATGTTCAATCTTCCGTTGTGATGTGGCACAATAGGCTTGGCCATCCTCATTCTAGAGCTTTAAATTTGCTTTTACCCGGATTTTCTTATGATTGTGCGAAGTGTGAAGCATGCATTTTAGGTAAACATTGTAAAGTAGTATTTCCTAAATCGAATACTATCTATGAGAAGTGCTTTGACTTAGTGCATTCGGATGTTTGGACCTCACCTTGTGCATCTAGAGATAATCATAAGTATTTTGTTACATTCATAGATGAGAAATC